TTATAATTCGTGATTTTATCCCAGTCATTTTCGACATAGACTCGATCTTGATCACTTTATTTTGACTCGTGGTTTTATCTCGATCATCCAATCTTGGCTTAGTCCAGATTATTTTTCAAGTTCACTGTCAATTTGACTCAAACGAAGTGGGTGTCTAACAGAGATGTGCAAAGAAGAGCAACTGTAAACATCCATTTGTGTCCGAGCCTAACCGGACCGATTCTCTTTATATTTTTATTATTATAGTATATATTGTATGGTATCATTATAAATGTCACTATTATTATTATTATTATTATTATTATTATTATTATTATTATTATTATTGTTATTATTATTATTATTATTATTTTCTTTTTCTTTCTCTAGTATTTTTGTATATAGTATTTATGCCATTATTATTATTATTATTTTTTTATTTTTATTTTTCCTGTTCTTTTACTTTTTTTTCTCTTTTCCTTTTCTATTCCAATCCACATGTGTACAAAAAGATGGAATCAGAATTACAATCCCATGGTCAATGCCTTTAATGCAAAATCAACCAGAATCAAATTAAGGACCTAGAATTACGCCTGAACAAAATCAATCCCAGGATTCAAGCTTGGACTGATTCCATCTGTTTCCTAAAAATCATCCTAAGATTGCTTATAAATTATATTAAAAATCAGAGGATAGACACACAAAAATTTCTTGGAGAAAAAAAATATGGAAAATTTTGGGCAGAAAGGGTTCTGGGAGTTTAATTCTAGGACTTTGGGTTCAATCTAAAGTTGTGGGTTTAATTTTAGGTTTTTGAGTTAGAATATGGGTTCAGGATGATTTTGGGAGTAATTGGGATAAAATTTGGGAAATTTTGAAAAGATTTGAAGAAATTTGGGTTTTTTTTGGAAATTTTTAGGTTTTTCTGGGTTTGGATAAATTTTCTGGTGAAAGGTTAAATTTTTTGGTGAAGTTTCCAGTGATTGGTTGAATTTTTCAACCATATTCTGACCAACTTTCCAAAAACTAGAGGGTTTCTAGATTTTGGTTGAATTTTTTGAGACTTTCTCAAAAATTGATGGAATTCCTAATTTTCGGTTAAAGTTTTAGGTGGATTTCTTGGAGAATTCTAGAGAAAAGGTAAAGCTTCTTGGTCTAGAGAGAAAGGGAGCAAGGGAAATTCTGAGGCAGAAACGCTGAAGGTGGCTTATATAGTGGCCTGGAACGACATCATTTTGAGCAACCTAGGATCCATGCGTTAACCTCGTGACCCATGTACTAACCCACGCTCCAACTCGACTCGATCACAAGTTTTTTCTTTTTCATTTTACTTTTATTTTTTGATTTTATTTTATTTTTAACCCATTTTTTATTTTTTTTTTGGTTTGTTTTAAAAATGTTATTTTTATCATTTTTATTTGTGAAAGTAAAAAAAAAAAAAAGAAAAAAATGATTCAATAAAAATCTTTCCAAACAACAATAAAAATATCTTCTCAAATAAAAAATTTCGAAAGTCCTTTGAATAAAAACATAAAAAAAATATTTACAAAATAAATTTGTAGAATCCACCAAACTATTGAGAAATTCCATATAGTTTTCAAAAAAAATAAGAAAAATAATAAATAATTTTTATCCTCTAAACTATTTAGGGGATTGCTTTGAACTAAGCCCTACCAAACTATTGGGAGGCTTTATTTTTTTTCAAAATAAAAATCAATAAATTTGACGATAGAACCTCTTCAGAACGAGACATTAGTATCTATGAATACTCCTGATGTGAGAATTATTTTAAATTGCTACCAAACTATTGAGACAATTTTAAGATTAATTTTTAATATTAAATTATTTGATAAATTATAAATATGATTAAGGCTTGGATGATTTGAAATCAAACAGGTATCATCCTTTGGATGGGCGTTGTGGGGGTGCTATAACATTTTTCAAGCGTAATTGACTCCCGAACCTAACATCTGTTTTCATATATCATAATATATTTCAAGTGGCTAATCTTACATAATCAAAAAAGATTGGTGGTGACTCCTTTCATCCATGTCTTGCGGTAGGTCCATGGATCTATACGTTATGATACATCTTCATACATAATAAAAATTTAAAATCATACTCATTTTTATTCCCATTCAGGTAAAAAGTTGGATTCCTTATTGGGTATGGGTAAGATTGACATCCTTACGTTCTATTTTTTAGTTGGTTGTATCTTTTTCTATATTGATAGTATCATTTTGTGGTTTTGTTATACATGTTTTTTTTTTTACGCAATCGACCCCACTTTTTTGTTTTGTTGTTTTGTTTAAACTGTCTAATATGTTTTGTTTGGTTTATGTCTTTTTGTATGGTTATTTTTAAATGCAGTATGAAAAAAAAATCTAAGATTGATGTCTTAAGTGGTGGTTCCACAATTGCTATAATCAATGTTCTAAAAGTTTGAAATTTATAAATGGGAAATTTTATTATTCAAATCCAAAGCATGAAAAATAAAAGTCCTAAGCTTGCGTAAGACTAATTAGTATGGTGTTACTTTCTTTATATGAATTTTACACATATATATTATGTTTTTACACAATAAAGAAACAAAATTTTTGTTTATTAATTTTTTTCCACTCTAATCTAATAGTTGTAAACTTTAAATGATAATGGAGGACACCACTAATGGAACTAGGTTGATGGCTTTTGATTCAATGGTTGAACAACTCATTGGTAAAATTATTGGTAAGATTATTAGAGCCTCTTGATAAAATGATTTTTTTTGTTGTTATCAAGAAGTTGATTGATCAAAAAAGAATTTTCAAGATTAACCTTACTAAACAGGCAATTAAAACTGGTGTTCTTGCGTTTGCTATCAACAAGAGTTTCTTCATTAGTGGATAAAGATCACTTTTGAGAACCAAGGTGACATTTTCTTTTATGCCCGTTGTTCTATATGAATAAATTGTTGATCTTGGATTGATGGTTGAAAAACAATAAAGTGTTACATAGGTACCTATTATTATTCCAACTGATTTGTTTTTAAAAGAATCACTTACAAAAACAAAAAGGAATTAGGTTTTGATTTATAATTTTTTGAATAGAATTAATGTTTGATGAATTAATTTGCTAGAGTCCTATATATTCATATTGAAATTTTTGAATATAAAACAATTGAGCATCTATTTTGCAACATCAGGGAACCCACTTCACCTTTGTTGTATCAAATGGTGACTCTAGAACAATAGACACTGAAAGATATAGCTACAAAAAATCTATTTTTAGGTGTTATGTTTTGTTGTGGCTAATTACTGATTACATTTCTTTTTGCTGCTTTTAAGAATATATCTGAGTCTTTTCTTAGCACATTATATGCTTTGTTGATTCACTTTTGTTTACCTTAAACTGTAGCTGGCAAAAACTATTCCTGTTGGAACAGATATTGAATCACAATACATTAGTGATGAACAACATCTAAAAAAACTTAAATCCAGGTTTTTCAAAACTCAATTCACTTTTAATATTAAACGTTTAGATCATGTTTGGTGTATAAGATGATAAATAGAATATGATGATAATTATATTATGTTTGGTTTGTATATAAAAAAAGGAATAAGATTACCAGAATGATTAATTATCCTTTTGATATAGAATGATTCAATCCTTTCTAAGTGGAAATGATTGTTTTTAACCCATAAGATTAAACTTACTAACATGTTTGATGCATAAAATTATTAATAGGATAGATTGATTATTTTTAATTCATGAGATTAAACTTACTAGCATGTTTGATGCATAGAATTATTACCTATCTCATTTTTTATTTGTATTTAAAGAAAGGGATATAGATTGCAAAAAAGATTAATAATCTCTTGGTATAAAATTATTTAATCATTCTCAAGTTGAAATGATCATTTTTAATCATAGGATTAAACTTATATGTCTAATTATACCCTTAAAAATTACATCAATAATTTAAATTATATAAATTTTAAGGAATGATAATTTTGACAAATAAATAAATTATCTTATCTTAATCCTTATATACATCAAACACAAAATAAGATAATATTATTTAATCTAATACTATTTATAATATCATTTTATCCTATCTTATCATAATATTATATATCAAACATGACCTACATATCCTATTATACATTTAAAAATTGTATCAATAATTTAAATTATATAAACTTTGAGGAAGGATAATTTTGACCAATAAATAAATTATCCTATATGTCTTATTATACATTCAAAAATTATATCAATAATTTAAATTATATAAATTTTAAAAAATGATAATTTTGACTAATAAATAAATTAGTTTATCATAATTTTTGTACATATTAAACACAACATATGCTGATATTATTTAATCTAATTCTATTCATAATATCATTTATCTTATCTTATCATAATTTGATATATTATATACATTCTTACTTAATTAATTATATTAGTATTTCATTGATAAGAAGCTTAAAATAATGATTCAAATCATTGTTGTATACTGTTGTTTATCTTCAAGTATATATGTGCGTATAGGAGTATATAAAGAAGTATATATTTTATTATTAATTTTATCATATATATTAATAAAGTGATTATTCGATACTTTAATTTAAGTAATTCATATTTTAAGCTCAATGAAAATATATGACATTCTTTATAAATTTTTTTTAAAAAAAATTTCATAACTTTTATGAAAAAATAAGATCAAGCAAAATACTCACGCTCATCCCTTTTTTTTTTTTTTTTTATCTCTTGCATTTTTTTAAGTTAATTTTTTAATAAAAAATTGATTAAACAAAAATAACAAAATAAAAAAAATTTGGCCCGCGACAGCGTACTGCTGTGTTGCTAATTTAATTAATAGTTACAAAAAATTGAGAGTAACGTGTGGATAAGTTTTCATCCATTTCTGAACACGTGAACGTAAAGAAGTTAGTAGGCAGTAGATAGGGTTAGGAACTTCTTAAAATTTTTATTTTATCTTTTATTCATATAAATACAAATATGAGTTTTGAAAGTTTTTGTTTTATCTCTCATTCATATGAAAATAAATATGAGTTTTGAAAAATGTAAAACGGGTTCTATAAACTATAAACGTAATGCTATTATACTTTCTTAATTTTCAAGCATTTTTGTTTCACGTTTCAATTTAATTTATCTTACGTTTATAGACTTGATTTGATCTTAGTAAATTTATCAAATCTATGTTTTTCCGCCCTTATTTTCACTCTTGCTAGAAATATCAAGAATGAGAACCTTTAATCGCCACCGTCCTAAAAAAATCAACCAATAATATCTTATTTACATTTTTGTTTGTGAAAAAAAATAAACACCAAGTGAAATTAAAATAGAACATTAATGGATTTAAATCGATAAAACTAACAATAAATCGCTCAATTTTAATTAAATAAGTTCTATTTTTTTGGTTAAGGAGATTACATCGATAGACTCTCGATTTCAATGGTTTTAACTGTAGGTTTTATTTTTTTTTTTAAATTTTTTAGATCCGAATTGATAAAAAAGTGGAAATTCAAATATTAAGTATTTAAAATAAATAAAACATTATTAATTTCCTCACCCTTAGCCGTCAGCTCTTCTATCTTTTTATTCGTTTTTTTACTGAAACCTTAAAATCCCTAATTTCCTAACACAACCCCCTCTCAGCCTCTCTGCCGCTCGTTGCTCGATCTCCCCTCTCCTCACAGCACACCCGTCTCTCCAGTCCTGTCGCCTCTCACGTCTTACCTCGAAGCAACCTTCATTTCACCCCAATTTTACTTCAAATCAGTATTCTTTCTCATCTTGGCTTCTTTCCTCCAACTCTGAAATTATTTTTGATCTCCTCTGATTATCTCCTCCAAATCGGTTTCTCTTCTCCGAATAGATACTCTCTCATCTCGGTTCGCTGCTTGTATCCTCCAACTTTTAAGAATCTCACGCTAAGGTAAACGATTTTGATTGTTATTTTTCAGTTTATCTTCTTTTATCACTTACACTCAAAAGAGATCCAGAGTCTCCAAGAGTCAGATCTTTCTTTCAAGTAAGCAACATGTTGTTTTTTAGACTTTGATTTAGATTTTCAAGCTCTTATTGGCGTTGATTGTAAGAATTAGTTGATGCTCTTGTTGTCCTTGATTTTAAGAATTTAGATTTTTCTACAGTCACTTAGCACTAATTTCAGAGGCAAGGTGATAGTTTTTACGCAATTACTGCGTGATTAGAGTTGTTATAACTGTTGATTAACGTGTGGCCAAAAAAAAAAAAAAACTGTTGATTAACACTAAGTTTTGTATGATTAGCATTGTTGAAAAAAGAACACAGAACAGAAAAAACCAACCATAACTGCCGTTTCAGTTAATTTCGGTTTGCATTCTATAGTTGGTCGGTTTGGTTTTCGCAATTGATGAAGTCGGTTTGCATTCTATAGTTGGTTGGTTTAGTTTTCCCAACAGATGAAGTCGGTTTAGTAACTTTTGTGTTTTACAACTGAATTAATCTAACCTACCGATTGCTCTGCCCTAAGTGAAGTAAAACTGTAAAAGCAAGCAATTTATACGGCAATTTTGAAATTTGAGGAGTCCAAAACTGGAAAGCTGGAAAGCTGAAGCAGGGGTGAGAGTTTTGGGCATTAACACTAAAAACACTGAACAAAACACAAAACCTAATGGGTTGTTGCCTGCACACTTAAGACTCCATTCTCTCTTTCATTATTATGACTTTGATTTTACTGTCTCTTTAGACAGAAACAAATAGGGAAAAAAAAAAAAAGAAAGAAGCCAGCATTGCTGCAAAAACTATAAGGGCATGGCCTCAACCGAGAGCTCCAGATCTTCAACTGCTGGGTCTCCTGATTCATACATAGGTAGCTTGATAAGCTTGACTTCCAAGTCTGAAATCAGATATGAAGGTGTTCTCTTTAACATCAACACTGAAGAATCCAGCATTGGTTTGAGAAATGGTAAAAAAAGACTCCTTTTCTTTTCTGGGTTTTCTTCTTTGGTGTTTTGATATTTGAGCTCTGTAGTGGATTTTTACTTTGTAGGTTTTGTTTGTTAAGGTGAAATAGTTTATTTTGAATTGTTACTGCGAGGTTGATTTGGGATGCTTTCAAAAGTTTCACTTTTTCTTCTTTAAGTTCTTTGTTGTGTCATTGGGTGTAATAAAGTTTGTAAGTGAGATGAATGTTGACTGTTTAAGCAACTGGACAGAAGATCCAGGACTGTAGAAGAGAAAGCCAATCAAGTGGGTAACATAGAGAAGCAAAACAAAAAGAGTGTTATAAGGCTTAAAATATAGGACAAATACAAAAGAATTTGTTTTCTGATTTACTTTCAAACATCTGATGTTTATCTTAATTTACAGGACCTCTTGGCTGCCAACTAAAATTAATACATAACACTATTGCTAGTACGTTTAACATAACAACTTTAAAATGCATAAGAGTGTTACGTTTTACAGCTCTTAAAGATAACTAAGCAGCAGCAATTAATTTGGCACTGCTTGATTTCGGCAATAATTGGGGATTTTGATTGTTAGTGGTCTATGCTAAAATGTTTGTAAAATAGTTAATGCTAGTTTGTCATACCATGAAGTTTGTTGGAAATTTTAATAAAAAAAGTGAATGATAAATGGAAGGTTAAGTATTAGTATTGACATGGATTGCTATAACAGTAAGAATAAAAAAATTGAAAATTTTGGCTTATTCGAAATAAAATAAATAAAATGGACATTGTATCTGTTGTAAAATTGGATAATAGATTTAGAAGAAAGAACTTGCTGTAACCATCTATATAATGTTGCTCCATTCAGACTAGAGAGGGGTATGGCTGTTAGGGCGGCAAATGTGAGAATCTTGCTCCTTCTAATGTTATTGCTTTGCTTGTGGTTATGAAAGGCCTAGTCTATGTTAACTGATTATTCTTGTTCTTTTGGGTGTTAAGATGTAACCATGTCCTTCTAAATAACTTCTATTCCTTCAATATTGCAGTAAGGTCATTTGGAACAGAAGGCCGGAAAAAAGATGGTCCACAAGTTCCAGCAAGTGATAAAATTTATGAGTACATACTCTTCCGTGGAAGTGACATCAAGGTATACCAAATATTATGGGAAATAATGAACATTGATAGTGCTATTATCTACCTCTTCAATTATGAAGTTTCACTCTTGGCAATTGATCGCGGATAAAGCATTGGACACTGAATTTGAATTTTGGTCTTAGAATGCAGTTTTTGAGGAAATGCTGAATTGTTGTAGAGTAGGAAGGGCAATTTCTCTGGTTGCAAGTATCTTATTTTTCTTCAGTTATGGTGCCATAAGTTGTTTATCTGCTATCCAGACGTGGGGCAAAAGAGGCTAGAAAATGCAAAACTTGTTTTTTTGCTTGATCACCCTTTTATTATTGCTTGTAAAGTGTGTTAGAAGTTTCTTTTGGCTCATATTAAAACACTTTCCAAGTTTCAATATTTTCTTGGTGTTTTAAATTCATTCAACAAAACTATTTTCCTTGAACAATCTTTATGGGATTCAAATTTATCTCATATCTTTTTTCTATAATTATTCAATATGGTATTACATAGCCAGACTTCAATAACACTGACAGTTTTGATCCCTTTTAAAGGGGAGATTTCTTGGTAGAATTGACTTTTTCATGCTATGGTGCTTAGTTGTGGCAAGCACCATATCTCAGCAGCCACTGATGTATTAACTTTTAGCATTTGTTTTATTAACTTTTAGCTCTCATTTTGCCAAGGTGCATTAGGACTTATTGTTGTATGTTAGTGCCAAAGCATGTCATAGGATTGCAAATGATATTTACCTGGCGCTCAGTCTGGCTAGCAGGCTAAAGTTTTTGTGTACCATTTTATTAGTGCTTGACTCATATGACATTTTAAATGACCTCATATGTAAGAATAATCTTTGCTGCTTAACCTCATGGTGCTATTGAAAGCTGTGATTATGTTGCTAGGAAAGAGTGTAGATTTCACACTACTAAATCCAACATTTTAGATTTATCTGCGCAAAAGTTGAAAAAAAGAGTTATCTGTACTCAAGGATTGTAGTTTAGATACTTCATTTGCTATTGGCCAAAATAAGATGGCTCATTTGCTAGATTGCAATTTGATTCCATCTAGTTTTAGTGAAGAAGGAAAATTTCTTGTTCTCTTATTTAAGCCTATTATCCCTCGTAGTGTCTTCAATGCGTTCTGTTTTCTTTTTCTGCATTTGTTTACAGGACTTGCAGGTTAAATCTTCTCCTCCAGTTGTGACCCCAGCCCCTGTACACAATGATCCAGCTATTATACAGGTAGAGGAAAGAAAATGATTTTTATATATTGCTATTTTGTACTATTAATATATAGCTTTTGAAACCAGTAAATTATGTTGGATTCAGTATTATGATCAAGTTTATATGGAATGATATTTACAATATTTCTGGATCTGGGGTATCATTGCAAGTATTGTACTCTCTAGTGAAGAAATAATTAAAATGCCTTTTTAAGTTTTCTGAGTTATATCATAATTTTGGTGTTTAGGATATTCTACGCATTTGAATTGGGTTTAGGGTTTAGCTTATAAATATCAATGTTATTTCTGTTTCTAGTAGTTTTGAACAATGACTTATTGAGAAGTCAGAAAATTGTTATGGGATTTTGCACTTTCCATCGGTTCGCTCTGGTTTTCTCTCCCTCGATCTCTTATTTCTCCAATTTCCTCTGTTTCTTCCCTCTTATTCTTAATTTCCCTCTAATTACTATTTCCTCGCTTCATCCCCTTCTTGTTCATCACTGTGCTTAAAGTTGTCTTATCTATTGCTAAGATGTGTAGATATGCATAATCAAATTAATTTGAGGCTAGCTGATGTAGGGCAAGTATCTCAATGCTCAATTTCCTGAAAATTCTCAATACTTCAATAATCAAAGTCTCCAAAAGCTATTGCAACTTAGGTATTTATAACTGAACCTAAACCCTAATAAAACATAAAACACCAATCATCTAAAGCCCTAACATTAATAAAATAAGTAAAATATTAATATTAAATAGCTTGAATAATCAAAAATAGCCTAGATAATTATAAAAGTTACAATCAAACTCATAACATGTAATATAAAGTCCTAAATAACTTGGTCTCTTAATTAGGAACTTAATCTCTTAATTAGGATATCTCTGTTCTCCATCACTAGCTCTGAGTTTATTTTTGATTGCAGTTTTATGTTTCAAATAGCATTACAAATTGGCATTTTGAGGGGTTATTGGAATCAATTTTTTTTTTTTTCAAACTTCAATATATATATATATATATATACACAAATCTGTATTAATGACTTTGCTGACAGTTGTTCTAATTCCTTTCTTTTGCAGTCTCATTATCCCCAGTCAGCAATTGCATCCACTGGCTTGCCTTCTTCTGGTACTGGATCTATGCAAGATCCAGGTTCCCAAACTTCATCTGTTGGACTTGCTGGGCCAACATATGTAGGCAGTCTTCCATTATATCGACCTGGTGCAAGTTTAGGGCCATGGGGTTCATCAACTGCTACAGCCGCAAATGGTGGGCTTTCCATGCCAATGTACTGGCAAGGTTACTATGGGTCCACATATGGTCTTCCTCCACAGCAGCAACCTTTGCTTCGACCCCCACCTGGCTTGTCAATGCCACCTACTATGATGCACTCTATGCAATATCCAGCCATGAATGTGTCATTACCTACTGCAGCTTCTAACATGCCAGCTTCTCAGTTGTCTGAAAATATTCCCCCTTTGCTGCCACCCTTTGGTACTGGCCCCCTGAATTTGCAATCTTCTGTGCTTCCAATGCAGTCTTCCACAGTACTTTCAGACTCATCAGCTAGTCTGAATCCAGATAGTGCTTCTGCTTCGACTCTTCCTACTGCAGCTCCAAGTACTAGCTTGCCATTGGTATCTCCATTGAGTTCTGCTTTAGATAAAAGTGCTGTCATGTTGTCTCTTTCTGACAAACCTAAGACAGTCTCTGATCCCACAATGCCAGTCAAAGGCATGTCTGATTCTGCTTCCTCCAACATGGGGACAACAACTGCAATTTTGAATGATGGAATGCTTCCTTCTTTAATAACCCCAGGCCAGCTTTTACAATCTGGAGTAGTCACAGCATCTTCATCTATATCTTCACATATAGCTCAGAAAGATGTGGAGGTTGTGCATGATTCATCTAAAGAGTCAACATCAGCACCTGCAACAGCACCAATTTCAGCAAAAGCACCACCACCTGTGTCAGCACGAGTACCACTGCCAGTGTCAGCACAAGCATCGCCACCATTGTTAGCACATGCACCACCACAACCACTGAAAACAGGACAGGAACCGATATTGCCTTCACCTTCACCTGCTGATCAGAAGGTATTGCTTCAATTATCTTGTTTGCTTTATGCAAAGTGAAAGGGCTGTGAAACGGGAGGAGCTTTGATAACTCCTGTGACATTTAGTTTTCTTTGAGAGAGAAGGGACGGAGATGGATCGGTGTCTTCTTTTCCTTCGTGTTCCCCATTCCTCTTCCCTACCCCTGCCCTCTCTCTCTCTCTCTCTCTGTCTCTGTCTCTCTGTCTCTCTCTCCTTTGCTTGGTTTGTAGGCTCCATTGAATTGCTCCCTGTTTTTGACTCTCACTTGGTTCATTTCTGAAATAGTGAGGTGTATTCAATGCCTTTTGTTCTTAAATTCCAAATTTCATTACCCCTAAAGAAAAAAAATAAAAAGAGAGAAAAACATGAATTTGTTGGATTTCTCGGCTAACTGCAGGCATCTGAAAATAAATTTTACCACTAGAAAATTTAGTGTTTAGACTTTAGACGGCAATTCACCATAATAGGGCATAAGAATTTCCAATTTGAAGTTTAGTAAATGGTATAATTTGGGGAGTTCAGTTCTTTTTAGACCCTTTTTTATTTGAAGGAACTCCGCATCTTGACTCTGAAATCCAACACAATGGTGATTTGGTGTCAGTGAACTAATGTTGCTAACTTCTCAAGAGGAATTTCAAACTACTTACCTCTCAAAAACATGGTGACCAAGTGCCTAATCCATTTTTTAACTCATTGAATTTAGAAATGTTTTCCCTTGAGTAATGTTGACATGTTTTGACTTGTCCATTCAGTTTATCTCTTGTTTCCTTTTGACAGATCAGGGATTATATTACTAGGTTTCTTTAGTCGTTATCCTGTGGCTGGTTTGACCATTGTCTATTAATTGCTTTATCTTTCCCAATAGTTAGGATGCATACTTTTAATTACATGGCTTGAAATGGTTACATATTTGCTGACATGCAATTTTCCCCCCTTTTTGGTGCATTTGCTGTTGGTTCTTCACAACCCTCCTAGCTACATGGAGCTCCAATACACACTCATCATAGTTATAGAGGAGGACGTGGAAGAGGAAGAGGAAATGGGGTATGTTTTCTGTTTCTTTGCATTGCCTGATTTTTATTTATGATGCATATGGTGGCAATGCTAATATTCTGGGAGTGAATTAGCCGTGTTGGTGTCTCTGATGAATAATAATGGAATGGAAGTTTGGGAAAGGTTGTGCAATATTGTTTACTTGACAACCATTGTTATACCTTTTTAACTTGGTTGCCCTACCTTTTTCTCTTCATAATTCAAAATTTGTCTTGTCCTACTCAACAGTCATATTTATTCAGGTCATTTTGAAAATTATAATAGATTTATTGCGATGAAACCATGATGTGACAAATGAAATTTCTATATTAGATTTACCAACAAAATCTGGGATAATATACTTGGATGGTCTTGAACATGTGGAAGTGATGCAAAAGAGCATATACTGAACTGAAACTTTCATCTGTGTTCCCTTCTAGTGTGTGTGAGCTTGCAGACAAGCATTTGTGTTCTCCAGATTGCATGGTGTCATTTGGGTCAGTTTAGTTTGATTATTTCACTCCAAAGGTTGAGGTAAAACAAACATTTCAAACAAAAATTTTTTTTTCTTGCAAACTTTACGATGTATTCTTATTGCAGTATAATCATGGAATTGACTGACCATGATATTGGAATTCCTAAGTATTTTAAAGTTTTATGATTCATCAAATCTTACATTAAAAAAAGTAAGTTAAAAGTCTTTAACATTTTTAACTTCCTTTCTCCATAAAGGAAATGATATTACCAACTGAATCCTACTAGGAAAAGACACATTTGAATATTATGGCTTGTTGCTTCCAAAATTGATAGATTAAATTAATTATTCAAACTACTGTTAAAATGAGAAAATTAAGGTGGGGGGGAACGAGGAATGTACTCTTCTATCAATTAGAAGTCTTTTTATTTATCCAAAAGTGTATAATTGATTCTGTTGCTCATTGCTTTGCCAACCTTGATGAACTTACAAGGCCCACAACCTATTGCGTCCAATGGCTTAGGTTGATTTTAATGTTAAAATTTGGTACTGCAGATTTCACGATCAGCAACAAGATTTACAGAAGAATTTGATTTCATGGCGATGAATGAGAAATTTAACAAGGATGAAGTTTGGGGTCATCTTGGCAAAAGTAGCCGAGCTCCAGAAGATGCTGATGATTTACAAAATGAAGATGGTATTGGATCCTCAAAAGTGGAGGCTAAGGTAGTCCTCTCTGTCTACCCAACCCATGTGCATGTTGGTGCCAAACACGTTTATATGATTTGGTTTTAGATTCTTTTTGTTTATAATTATTTTTCTTCTTTTGCAGCCTGTATATGTCAAGGATGATTTTTTTGATTCCTTGTCCTGTGATTCTCTTGATGGTGGCTCTCGTGATGGGAGAGCTAGATTTTCAGAGCAAATGAAAAGAGATACAGAGGTACAATATTCCATTTGCATTATTCCCTTCATTGGAGTATTTAAATGTATATATTTGTATGTGTATGTGTTTGTGTTTCTGTGAGCCTTTAACTCTATTTGTCTGTATGCTGTAGTCATGTAGAGTAGAAATATACTTACAACTGCTAGTATATTATTATTATTATTATTATTATTATTACCATAGTTTGGTTGGGAAGAGAGAACGGGGGTGGCGGGTTGGGTGGGCTTCTTGATGTATGACAAGTTCAACCGGGAATAGAAGGAATTGGAACCTAATTTGAGCAAAGTAACAATGGTTAAAACTGACATTGGTTATGGCTTCTAGGCTTGTGATGGAGTTTGCCTAATTCTCTGGCGTATTATTTGATAGTGTGCATTTTTTTTTTTTTATCAGCATGAATGATCTTAAATTCTTGATAAAAGTTTCTCTTTACAATATCTATGTAGACCTTTGGCGATTTCCCAAGGCATCGTGGTGGTGGTAGAGGTGGTGGACGTTTTCATGGTGGTCGAGCACGTGGTTCATATTATGGAAGAGGCTATTATGGTGGTGGGAGGGGTAGGGGATATGGCATGGCAAATCGTACCACCTAGTTAGCGGCAGCCCAAATTGAGCACAGTTAGAAGATCAAACTGCTAGCAGAAATGTATGTGATGTTCCCTTCAAATTGAAGATGTTTATGATGGCCTTTGATTGTATTCCTACAATGGTTGCTGCTTTAGGATTTGACTATTGAGCTATAGAAATAAGCAAACCCCAGAAGACAAAAGTATTTCCATATTTCCCTGCCGCACAAGGTTTTCTATGGATGTAAGATATTTAAAATATCTTTAATTTAATTTGGATACATAAACATTTCCTTGAAAATATATGATATGAACCTAAAAAAGGTAAGAAAAAAAAGAATATTGGGTTTGTCAAATGAGTACTGAGAGAGGGGTAAACAGGTCAATGACACGTTAAGCATCTAGAGAAGCGTAGGCACTTGGAAAGCCCCAGAAGGGGGGCTTTTATTTGTGTCCATAATTTGCTCGATACACATTTTTATGACAAAAGTATTCCATAATTTGTTCAATAAACATTTTCCATGACAAAAATATTCTTAAAGTAAAAGGGCTTTATTTATCTTATTAAATTGGCATTTTAATCTCTCAATACACTATTAGATCTGTACCTCCGAAAATGTAATAAATTTTTTTGGATATATATTTTAGAAAATATAAAAGATAAATAATCGAATTATTATTATGTAGCTGTCTTCGGCACTGGGAACGAATTCTGCATCATTTGGATCTACAAGACCATTAAACACACTCGAAGCTAAATCATTATTAGCCATACTGATTTAAAAAGGTCTCTTCGTTCAGAAGGATGAGAGAAGCGTTTATAGATATGCAAATCTGTAGGTTTTAAAGACTTAGAGATTTGCATTTTTGTAAATTTTGAAAGCTTATGGATTTGTATTTTTATGTAGTCTTTTAGAGTTACGAAAAAGTAAATTTGTAAACTCATGCAATTTATGAAAATTTGTTTTTGTTGTGATTCACGATTTCACGCCAAAAATAATGCAATAAACCAGATTCAATTTAATCAATGTTTAACAAAAATCAAAAGAAACTTATCTCAATATTGGAATTGACTAGCTGGATTTAGTATGAAAGTTGTGATTTTAGGGATTGATTGAAGATTTTTAGTCTTAACTTTGGTTTTAGGGTTTAATTTTAGGGATTGAAGAAATGGAGAATGAATCTAAAAATGGACAAGGGGGAATGAGTTGAAGGGTATGTAGGGGATAGAAGAAATGTTTTTGTTGGCTGTAATGAGTAAAAATGTTGATTTATGTTTTAAATTTGGAGTGTTGCTAGAAATTGGGTGTGAAGAGCAAATGTTGCTAGTATTTAGAGGCTCCTTAAGAAATTAACTCCACACTCTCACTTTTTTATTATAAAAATATTTTTAAATGAAATTACTTAATTTTTGACAAATTATCTTTTGGCTTTTTATACACTTAATTTTTACTTCTTCACTTCAAGTTTCCAAATTTACATTTTTGAAAGTTTTTCAAGTTTTTGGATTTGTATTTCCAAAAGTTTTTAAACACTTCCCAAAAGATTTGCATTTTCGAAAGTATTTAATAGCTTTTGGATTTGTATTTAAGGAAGTTTTATTTATATTTCTTAAAAGCTTTTAGATTTGTATTTTTGGAAACTTGAAAATAGTTTCGAGTTTGTATTTCCGAAATTCACGATTTCACACACAATATCTCATTTCGAATTTCAATTTGTTCAATATTTAATCTAGATCTAACAAAGTTAAAGACAACTTACCTCTAATTTGAAGTTGGGATACTTAATTAATTCTGAAACTTGTGATTTTATGATGATTTTTGGGGTTAGGGTTTAAGGAATTGATTAATCAGAAATGGATAGGCAATTGGGGAAATGGATGGAGGAAAAATAGAAAATGTGATTAGGGATGTAATGAGTTTTAGTTTTTAGATTTTGAATTTGGGGTATAACTACTAACAGAGTATGAAGAATAATTTTCGAGGTGTGAATAGAAGTTATTCAGATGGAATTGAGTGTACGAGGCCCACAAAATTATGTATTGTAATTTACAAAAATGATGGCTAAAGTTACAGTGTAACACCAAGCCAAGAAGGATTTTATATGCCATTTGATACAAATTTGTTATTTATTTATTTATTTTTGTAAAAGAGAGGATAACATAATGCACCAAAAAAAAAAAAAAGATGACATATGTTGGGAGAAGCATGGCAGAGGAAAAATTGAAAAATTAAAAATCAATTCGAAATTGTAATATTTGATTTGATTTTAATATATTTTTTTATTTAATTTGGTTTAAGTTCAAATATTACATATTTTTATTTAGAGTGATTTGGTTTGGTTTTCAAATCAAAAAGTAAAAAGTTAGAGATATCCAAATAAATTTTTATTAGTTTTATATTTACATTTGAATTTTTATAAAATAAAATAATTTTGTATCTAAATCTATTTAAATCTATTAAAAATTATATTAAACTAATAACAAAAGGTAAAAAAGTAATTTTTAAAATTTAAAGGATTAAGCTAATAGAATTCAATTCAAATTGAATCAATTTAAAAAATATTTAATTTAAATTTAAATCAAAATTTTAAAATTTATAATATTATATATTAATCAAATCAAATTGAATTGAACCATTATCACCCTTAAGAGTAATATTTTATTTTATTGGTCCATGCATGGGACAACTTGGTAAGCATATGTTAAGTCATGGTCTAAAAGTTTCAAATGACGTCTGATTTTTTTTTTATATAAGTAACGATGCTAGTGATGTTGATTGGGAGCTATTTTTTACTGCATCCATAATCAAATTGTATCCTACCATGATATATTCATTATCTTTTTTTGTTCCTATTTATTTGCGTGTAGAGGTGGTAAATGAACAAGATGAGTTGAGTTTGTTTTGGTTTGGATTATTTTAAATCATTTTGGCTTTTGTTATTTTGTATTTGGATCAATTTAAGTTTTGGCTATTTTGAATTTAGATAAATTTGGTTTTCAGGTTGTTGAGGTTTAAATATCAGATTATTTGGATTTTAGTCGCTCTGAATTCAGATCAATTTGAATTTGAATTATTTTGTTTTTGTTTATTTAGTTTGACTTTTGGGTCATTTGAGTTCATATCATTTCAAATTTCACATGCAGGTTAGATTTAATTTATTAATTTTTAAAATTAAATTAGATTGTATTGAAATGAATTACTTAATTGATGTTCGAATTGATTAATTATAATGAAATTATTTATGCAAAATTATATTTTTCATGAACTTATTGCATGTCATATATCCAATTTAGATTTTTAATACCATAAAAATAAAATTTTTAAAAAAGATAAATATAATTAATTTATATAAAATTAAAAATAAAAAACTAAATGAATTAAATTTCATTTAGTAATATAAAATATGTTACACTACATTAAAAATTAACTTTATTGATGATAAAAATACTTAATAAATTTTTATTGATAGAATGATATTTAATTTTTATTTTCAATTTTTTAAGCATTGATTTTTAATTTCTTACAACATGACATGAGCTGATTTGATTAAATTAATATATTTCTATGCAACATAAGTCAATTTGTTTATTTAAACATGACTATTAATGGGATTAATTTTTATTTATAATTTAATTTGATTTAATTATTAAATTATGAAGTAGATCATATCTTTGGGTCTTTGTTATTATCTATACTTACATTAAAAGCCATCCCTAATATATTTTGAGGGGACATCTAAGTAATGGAAAAAAAAAAACAAGGGGTAATTTTGGGAAGTAAGCTTATCTAGAAGCTTTTTCAAAATCTTGAAGGGAGAAACTTTTCAAAAAATAGATAGACATTCAAACAAAGAAAAAACAAAATAAAAAGGGACTTTTCTTGGGTATGAAAATCAATATATGTATCAATATGTTCACAGCCATAATAATGATCAAAAGTTAGTACGCTTGAGCTCATTTGCTACTAAAGAAGTAAGAAAAAAGAGGATGGCTAGGCAAAGAAGGTTTTCATCACGCCATAGAAATCATAATCATCATAATAATCAACAAAGCCAATACCAAAATCAAAGCCTTAACTAACTCGCAAAGCTTGTGAATGATAATTGTGTGCTAACAGCCCAAGCTAACCTTAAAAACTAGCCTATTGGACTTTGGTTAATGACGGTGTAGCTCTAAGACCTCTGGTTCTACCTTTTGAGGTTGCTTTGGTACATTCTATGGATTGACTTGCCATGTAAGGACAAAGTTATCAGCGAAAAATGGCATTGGATAGAAGACAGGTGGGTTCTTTTATCTTCATCATTTTTTTTTTATTGTGATTAGCAAATACATTAATTTTTGGGTGTTGTAACTATTAATGCATTATTAAGATAAGAGCATTAAATGTATATATGTAAGTAATGATGCTATTTGCTTTTCTGGGTGTGTTTTAAAGACAGGAACCTAAGAAGAATTTGTGGTTTCTTTTGCAAAAAGTGTTGAAGTAGAGCGATGTAGGCAATCTCGAAAGAATCATTCTTTCAAAGGTATCCTCCTTCTTCTTCTTATCATTTTTAGAGAATAATTTTAATCTTTTTTAAAGAAAACAATTTAATTTTAGTAAAAAGAAAATGGGAAAAGAAATCTCCATTATTTATGTTTCAGTACTTTGTTTGCTTTATACGTGATTTTTTTTATTTCATTCCTTGGATTTCTTAATTGATTTTGTGGTGAGCTATAGGTGGTGCAACATTTTTTGGAAAAAAATGACATTTAACGTGCAATCAATGCCTTGCAAAAGCTGTCAGATTTCATAAGTGTTGTTTTTGTTTTGATAGTATTTTGTTTATTACTTTAAATGTGTTTGAATAAATGTCAATGTGAAAAGATTGTATAAGAACTAATGCTCCTTGCCTTAACAATACTTCTTTGATGGTTACATAGGTTTTTAATGTGGCTTTTTTTGTTTGGTTTTTACCACAAAAGCTTTTGGTGATCTCTGTTGCTTGCTTTGTTCTCTCTTTTTGTGGGAGTTTTTACTTATAGGTATTTATTGTGGCTTTGTTTATATATTTTTGAAAAGTAGAATCCTTTTTTTGTGTTAGAGTTTGAGTTTCTTGTACTTATGTGTATGATTATATCTGACATAGTACATGCCTTAGAAAAGCTTTCAAGTCTAGTTAGTTATTGTAAAAGATTCTTAGATTGGTCTATGATATAGTTATCTTGATTATGGTACTTATTGGTTTCATTTTAACTATATCATTGTGTTTTATCTTGATATTTATCTCTCCATTCTTATTTTTTATTGATTAGGTTGACTGATAGGATTGATAAATTTGTCGAATGAGTAGCAAGTAATTCCAGCAATTGAAATAGAGGTGAGATTTTTTTTGTATTTTTTAAGTGAAATTGTTCAATTTATATGGTATAAACTTCCATTATGTGGATATTAAATAATGTATAAATTATTAGTAGATGTTTATGGGAAACAAGGCATATATTATTATATAAGTTTTTCAAGTCTGGCTTAGAAATATTTTCATACTTTAGCATTATTCAATTATTATTATTTGTAGTAAATTGAAGCTACACAATAAGCCATAATGAGAGTGTATGTTGCATTTCACATTTCACTTATTAGAAAAAAATGGGGAAATGTTGTATTTTAAACTTACAATAATTAGCTTTTGCTTGTGTATTGTTAGATTTGAGGGTCAAATTGACTTGATACCTTGATGTCTTCTATACTTTGGCTTGGAAAACAATTTTTTTTTTGTGTATCTTGAAATTTTGAATTCCATAAGTTACCCCAAAAAAGGTATAAAAAAAATTATTATACGTCATTTATTTCTTATAAGTTTATCAAGGAGTTTGTTATAATTGTTTTTGTTGTTTGTACACATCTCATTGTTTCAAGATGGTAAAAAGTGATTGGAGGCTGATAGTATTGCTTTATAATATCCTTGCTTCGAAGTTCTATATGAGTATTATGAAGATGTTGCAAGTGGAAGTAAGATTTGTAATGTTGGTTTAGCTAGGCGTCGATTTCATGTATGTTTGTAACACTATATTCTTGCTTTTTTCAATTTTGCTCATGATAAATTCTCATTTCATGAAATAGCTTGGTTTAATTGATTAATTTGTAATTGGGAATGGTAAAAAAATTTTTGAAAATGTTTCTTAGATCGATCAATGTGTATGCATCCCGTAAAAACATTCAATTGAAAGTTAAAAAGGAATATAATAACTACAAAGTAAGCATCACTTCTTTATAACTCTTTTTTTGAAATACTTTTCTATTCTTTGGTTGTTTCTATTGGCATCCGAACATACCTTTCATATATATATATATATATATATATACACACACATTGCCAAGTGGTTTAGTTTAGTCCTATGAAATAAAAATGTGAGGTGTGGTATTACTTTCTTTTTCTCAATAACTTTTTGATAATTATAAGCTTTTGTTTAGTTATCTTTTCTCAATTGGATGGACATTTCTTAATAACATATGAAGTTTTCAACTTTGGTGTAATCATGCTTGAGATTATTAGAGGAAAAAGAACTTGAGATTTTATTAGGTGGAACATTGCCCAAGCCTAATTGGTTATGTAAGTAAGGATGAATAATTTTATTCTTTGTTTTTTTATCAACTTTTCTTTTCCATACTAACTGTTGGCCAATACTTAAGAGGTAAGAGGTTCGTAGGAATGGCAAACAATTTTATAAACTTAACTTGCTTGTGGATTAAGGTGTATTTCATTTTTTTTTTTTTGTAATTATTTATAAATGGTTTGTCTAGTATATTTGGTTAGAATGTAATTGAAAATTTCCCAAACAGTTTTATTTTGACAAGTTTGATTGCTACAATAGCTATACCTTATTTAGGACTTAATATTAACAAAGTTTGAATAAGAAAGCTAAGATTATGTTGGTGGATGTTTTATTTTGATAGGTTTGATAACTACAACATCTATACCTTATTTAGGACTTAATATTAACAAAGTTTGGATGAGAAAGCTGAAATTATGTTGATGGATCAAACATATGCATCACCATCCTTATATTGTTATTGCATTGAAGTTCTAATTATAGATGGATCCAAAAGTATATTGAAATTAATAGTTATTGGAATCTTTTATTTAATTTTTCAAATAAACAACTGCTGGTCATTCAAATTATATTCTAAATGTTAGTCTTTACTTGATTTTACATATAAGCTATGCTAAAACTTAGGTTGCTTCATAAGCTATGTTGAAACTTAGATTATTCTCATAAGCTATATGCTGAAACTTGAACCTAGGCAATATCTAATTATGGTTGTTTAGACAATTAGGAAAAGTTTCACTATCAAATCAAGTGAAAGAATTTTTATTGTATAAAAACTTTTATTTGTTCTAAATTATTTAATCTAAAATATTGTTCTTTGGTTTCTATAAAGTTCTCTTTTAGTTCCTAGGAAATTTTTACTATTTGTAAGGTAAAATAAAAGTTGGAACTATTTTTGTATTTTTTTTCATTTTTGAAAAGTTGAAACTATCATAAAATTGGTTCCTAGGAAATCTTTACTATTTAAAGAATAATATAAATGTTGAAATTATCCATCACATGTGAAAGAAAAAAGTTGTTTTAGTTTCTTTAAATCTTTCATATGAGAGTATATAGGTGGTTTCTTTATCTATACCAGTAGATGCATTTTGAAATACTATTGTAGCTCGTAAATTAGGTCCTAAATGCAGATGAAACTTCAATGTTTCATTTTTGGCAATATAATTTTTTTGTTTTTTTTTTTTTCATGAAACTTACTATAAGTAAATATTTGTTAGCCTTGGTGAGGTTCAACATGTAACAATTTAGATTTCCTTCTATAAAACTTCTAAAATGCTCCAATATTTGTTGCTCCATGCCTAAATTAAATCTAAATAGTTTATTGCTTATATCAATTTGGATGTATAGCTCATCTTAGACATAATTTATGCCTATTGTGGTTGCATTATAACTTCAACCTTCTGACAACTTACAGTCTAAGCTAATGAAACTTAAAAAGAAACATGGATACAATTCTTTTTTTATTATACATTTTTTAATATTTAAACTAATACACAACTGTATTTTACTCCCTTAAGCGAAGTTGTTGGCTTAAAACCTAGTTTTTATCACTAAAAAAAGAAAGTTGAGTGTTTGCTATTTATGATTAAATGACCTTTCTAGGTTGAAAAGAAACATGTGCATTTATTATTTGAATTGGGTTGGACCTAATCAAATAGGTTTATATATATATATATATATATATATAAATTTGTTTGCACAATAATAGCAAATAATTTAACAATATGAATGATTTCAAAAAATCTTATGTTTTTATATAAAAATTACATCGACTTATACTTTTTATCTTATTATTTGTATGAACATAACGTATTCATAATAATTTATATATATATATATATATACTTGCATATGTAATATAGACTAATCATTTATCTTGTATTGTTTGATTATTTCTTATAAAAAAGTGATATGCTTGTATATGTAATATATAAGGTAATTGTAGTAATATGTATATATATATATATATATATACATGTTTTCTATTTGGTTTTAAAATAAAATGAAAATAAATATTATAATTGTTTAAAAATAGACAAATACTTAAAATGTGACCAATTATAACATAACTAGTATATATGCAAATTATAGCATTACTTATATGAACCATCTAAAATGAAGCAAATGCTAGTATATGTGTTCTAGAGCCAATTGGTTGGCAAGACATACATCTTAGTTGCATTAATCATTATGTTTAGTTATTAAAAAGTTTTCTTCATAACCAAGCATGAAGATAAAGAGTTATCAAGGTGCTAATTAGATAAAACTCATGGAAGACAATGGCCTAGCAAATGAATTGTAAAAAGTTAAAATTATGAGATTCTTATGCATTAAAGTCATATACCTAAATTGTTCCTAGTCAATGTATTATTGAGATAAGACATTAATAATACTTAGAGACTGACACATGTTAATCCTCCTTACTTGTGAAGTAAGTAATTGATCTCATAGATTAAAGTTTAGGGATATTTGAGGATAACATATGGGTGCTTGTGAGGGTACAAGTTTATTTAACATGGCTCACTATAAGAACTCCATTTAGTATCTCACTTAAGTGTTTATGAAATATTTTCATGTGTTAGACATGTAAATAGTCCTTAGACTTGAGACATTATCTCATCTTATATGCGAGTTATCATACTTTGATTTCACATTTACTGGTTAAGGTTTCTAAAGCCTAAAAAAGGTATTTTTAGGTATGATCTAAAGGCATGTGAAGATGGATAAATGGTTAAAAAATTATTCATCACCCCAAGTGATATGAGGGAACATGTCTCATTTGTTTCTCAACTTTAGTTTACTTAAAAGTCTTCGGCTGAAGCATGATGATAAATTTAAATGAAATAGTTTCATGATAAATTCGTACATGTTGACTAGAAGTTGCAAAAACTAAAATCAAAGGTCTTATAAGTAGACATTGCACCATGCTCATAGTTTTTTAGGATATGTAATGGAAAATATCAAATACACTTATATTAGGAAAGGAAATGATTAATAGCATTAGTGCTTACATCCTACAAATAGTTTAGATCAAGTGAGTAAACAAAATTTTAAGAAGATTTAGATGATATAGTTACGGGTCATACCAAATGAAGAAAAATTATTTATTAGAGGAGACATGAATGGTCACATAGGCAAAGATTGTAATGATTTTGAAAGGGCATATAGATGATATCGCTTTGGAGAAAGAAATGATATTGGGGATAATATTCTAGAGTTTGCTATTGTATTTAACCCAATTATATTAATCACGTATCTTAGGAAAAGAAATCACATTTTGTGACTTTTATGAGTGGGTCAAATGCTAGTCAAATTATTTTTTTTTTACAAGGAAAAAAGATAGATGTAGTTGTAAGGATTGATATTGATTTATAAATATAAGATTAGTTAATTAAAGAATTAATGATGAAATCAAAATAGTTTGGATTCATCTAATCTAAAACATAGTAGAGGATTACAATACTTATATTTATTACCAACATGTTAAGGAATATAATTGGTTACACACAATTGGAGAAGCTAATGGGAGATTAAAATTAGGACAAATTAAGTTGGACTTATTTTACTTCGATCAATACCCAAAAATAGAGGAATATGTAAAGGCCCATGCATTTACATTATTGGCTACATGAAGATAATCTCATGCAACCCTTAAAGAGTTAAAGACTTGGCTGAAACTCTTTTTTATATAAGGATCATTAAGTCACCCCTTTTCAAGAGACATGAATAAAAGAATATCATTTAGTGAATAGACATCTTATGTGTTGAGAACCCTTTAGAGAAAACAAAAGAGGGCATTTGGCATACTTACTAGCTAGAGCTTTGGTTTGTGATTCTCCTATCGCTTAGTGAAAGTTTTTCAATCTTGTTCATGTGAATTACTATTAGAGGTTGTACAATTGGATACCTGTTGGTTTGCTACAACCAAGCTTGAAGGTTTTTGAATTGTTCTTAATGTCATTATAAGCAAAGTAAGAAAATAGTTTATATAGAAACTAGTATACTATTTTATATGATTTTGTCAACTTGATGCTTGTTCTTTGAGAGTTGAAAAAAATTTAAAATTATGATGCTTTATACTTTGATCTTAATGTTCAATTCCAAATAATAGTATCAGAGATAGGTTGATTTAGATTCTAAAAAGTTAAAGTTGTTTGGTTGTTCTCGATATCAAAAACTATTTTGATTACAATCTAGTATTAAAGATAGGTTGATTTAGATTATAAAAACTTAAAGTTGTTTAGTTTTTCTCGATATCAAAAACTATTTTGATTACAATCTATCCATTGTGATGAGAATGCTAAAAAACAAGTTTTTCATTTTTTTTTTTTTTTTAAGAATATCAAAGCATGATTTCTTAGGATGATTGGGTTTGAATTTTATGATTTACAGACATTGTTTGCATGCCGTATAAATTTTTTGTTTACAATTTGTCCAAAAATAAAAAAATTTTACAATAGTGATATTATGAAAATTATTTTCCACTCTAGGGTTATCAATTTGCTACGAAATTATAACATAAGAAAATATAACTATTGATAATAATTGTGTTAATTTTCAAAATTTTTGGAATTGATTTTGTGGTTCAAAAGTTGATGACAAAATCTACTTAGAAATATATCTTTGGTTGTAGCATACATGCAAAAGGTTTAAGATGTATAAAACCTTAGGTATTAGGATTTCTTAATGCAATTGGTACTCTTAATTGTTGAGGACCTTGAAAAACTATTCAATAAAATTTTGATGAAAATTAACTTGGTAATCAAGATTAGGAATATTAGAGAACTTGTTCATCAAGATTTCAAGATTTACTTTCTTAATCATTAAGTAAAGCGAATTGTCTTTCTCAAAACTTTTTTTAGTAATTGTTAGTTATGGTTTAAGGTTCATGATCAAAGACATAGAAGATCATGTCAAAGAGTTTAGAACTCTTGATTTAAGGCGCAAAGTGTGGCATGGTGAGCCAAACCCGAAACAAGCAAGCTTTCCATAAGATAAAACCCTAGTCGCAAGGCATTTTCCCATTTTGAAATAAGATTCAGTCAAACCCTATTGTATGTTTCATCTTGTTGAATTTGGATTGCTAAATGATTTAGGACTTACGAAATTAGATTTCATTAAGAGTCCAAATTAGATTCGAACTCCTAAATTGTTTAGAACTTTTAATGAACAAAAAAAATTATTTCACTAGTAAATCTAATATGAATAGAAATACCTAATGTTGCTAAGTTTGCTTGGATATAATTAATTGGTAATTCTAAATAATTTAAAATTGAAATAACTACATTATATAAAGTTTCAAGTTAAATAATGATTTTGTAATAGTCTAGGAAACATGATTGCAAATTATAACTCCTAACACATAAGATAGACATATTCAACCACTTTGTCCCAATAAGTCTGTACCTTTCATCATAATAAGTTAAGTTAATATTTGATATTGATTTACAAGAAAAAATTGTAAAATCATGAATTTGAATCAAACATGTTTATTAATATGCAGTTAGTATGCATGATAATTATGAGATAAATACCATGTATGCTATTAGAATGAATAAATGTAGTATGCATGTTAATTATGAGAGAAATACTATGTGTGTTATGTTGATGGGTGAATGTACATGCTAGATTTTATATATTTTTATGTATGATAAATGTCATATATGTTTGTAAAGAGCATGATAAGGTTACATGTATGTGATATATGCTGAATTTTATATATGCTATACAAACCTAAATTGAATAAAATCTCTCATCAAATTATTAAGTACATGTTTCTCAACATGAATGTTTGCCTTCCATTATCATACAAAATGAAAGTTTCTACTAATGAGGGCTAGTTGAGTAAACTCAAGGCACTTATTCTTCGAAATATGTTTATGTTATGATTAATGAGTCTTACTTAACTAGTTTATATGATTTGGAAAAGTAAACTCATGATCATATGAAGTTAGAGGCAATGATTAGGTGAATCACTTAAGATGTGAATAGACAAGTTGTCGTCTAATTGATCTATGAGTCATATTCGATATGATTAATAAGCAAAGTTATTTACCTAATTTACATATCATAGCTTATTGGGTAAATTCAAGGTCGTGATAAACTAAATAAAATCCTAACCCACTAGAAAAATATGATTTTTTTGAATTAGTATTGAGGGCTATTAATTTAAGGAAAATAGTAGTAGAAATCAATTTATAAACTTAGACCTTATCTATATTGGTTTTGAACAACATGATTATACATCCTCATATTTTATAGGTTGCTAGAAAGATGAGTAATAACTTATTACTTTATAGCATACTTGATGCTAATAAGCTCTATGGGCCTAACTTTAATGATTGGTACCATAATCTTAAGCTTGT